CTTATATAGCAAAAATCTGATACATTGCCAAATAGGCACAAAATAACCTTAGCCCAGGTTTCTGCCCATTTCTGCACTACCATCAAAAGCTGTTCAAGAGTATATACAACATTATGCCCATTTTCTGCCATTTCTAGACTACCAAATCATCCATATTGATGAACAATATCACAATTATTAAACAAAACAGAATAACAACCCAGAACCACCTTTGTCTTTGTCAATAACTCAAAATTTCCCCTTCTAGTACAACAACTTGTTGACCCATTCCCAGATTCTGTTTTTTCAAAATCTTGATTTCTTCTTCCTCTTCTCTCAGTTTTTGCTCTAATTTATTCTTCTCTTCTTCCATCTTTCTGAAATTCTTCGCCGTTGCTCTCAATTCGTCCTCCATTGCTCTTACTCTTCTAAGTAACCCAGGCAAGATTTCCTTTCCTTGTGCGCATGTTTCTTTCTCCAGCCATTCGAAAAAATGCACCCCCCCTCTTACTGTTCTGCAATTCAAACAAAACGAAACACCAATTTTAGACCCAAAAAACCACCAATTTCTTTCTCCAACCATGCGAAAAAATGAAAAACCAATTAACCCTTATGCAATTCAAACAAAAACTTACCCGATTATTGCAACATGCCTCAAATCTTCTACCGGGATTCAGATCTGTCCATGAAGTCCGCTGTTTGATTTCCGACCCACACTCGCAGTAACGACGCCTACAATTTGAATCTGTCGAACTCTCCGACATTTTTCCTTCCCTCGCAGCCCCTTCTCAGGTCTTCAGTTCTTCAGTCTTCATTTGGGGGTCGAAGCCAAGGGTTTAAGGCGAGTGTTCAGATTCGAAGGAGAGTCTTCAGACTCGAAAGGACGTTTTTACCCCTCATTTTGACGGACAAATTGACAGAATTGGACGGCAGGACCTAATTGCACCCTATTGTCAAATTAAAGTACGAAATTGCCACAAAATTTAGTTCACGGACCCAATTGCAACTGGGGCCATAGTTGATGGACGTCTACAGTAATTAACCCTAAGAAAATTTAAGAGAAGAGAAGGCAATGACTGGAGGAGAAGACAGATTTGGAAGTGATTATCTTGGATTACTTGTAGAGGCTCAACATGATGCCGATGACAACCAGAGGATTTCAGTGGACGAAGTTGTTGATGATTGCAAGACGTTTTACATGTCCGGACAAGAAACTACTACTACTTTGCTTTCTTGGACTGTCTTACTTCTGGCAGTCCATACAGATTGGCAAGAGGAAGCAAGAAAGGAGTTCATACAATTATTTGGCAAACAGACTCCACATCCCGATGGGATTGCCAAACTGAAAACAGTAAGAAAGCCAAGAACACAATCAATTGCTTTTGTAAGTGGCAAAAATATTTTCTCAATTAAATTTGAAATCCTGATTTGTTATCTCTTTTTTCATTTTCATGCAGATGAGTATGATCATTAATGAGTCTCTACGGTTATATCTGCCGCCTGTTTCTATTATAAGGAAAGTTGAAAGGGAAGTTAGATTGGGAAAGCTCACTCTTCCTCCGAATCTTGATTTGGTTATCTCAACTATAGCAATTCACCATGATCCTGAAATCTGGGGACGGGATGTGCATCTTTTCAAACCAGAGAGATTCTCGGAAGGGGTTGCTAAAGAAACTAACAACAACATAGGTGCATTTATACCATTTGGATTGGGACCTCGAACTTGTGTGGGCTTAAACTTTGGCACTACTGAAGCAAAGATTGCTTTGTCAATGATTCTACAACGCTACTCCTTCACCCTTTCCCCGGGTTATGTTCACTTTCCCTTGCATTATCTTACAATTCGGCCACAACATGGAGTTCAGGTAATGCTACACTCACTTTGAATTGCAAAGACATTGATGTATCGATTGCACCCATGATTCTTGAGCTTGGTGTATCAAGTACCCGGACATTAATGCCTTTGGATATACTGCTAGCTTACTAACAGTGCAAGTGAACAACTGATTGATTGTCCTGAAGTGTTTTAAAATTAAATAAGAAACATCTGCACAACTGTATTAGTCCATAGTGTACTCACTAATAGATCCTTTGCTGCTGCCTCCAATTTTGTAATCTAGATTGCTTTTTCTTTTTAGTTCTTTTTCCTTTTTAGTTGGAGGCTGCATTGCATAGCTCTGTATAACTATATGTAGACAGATTGCTTAATAGAATCATGTATTGATTAATAGAAGCATCAGAACTTCCAGAATATTGACTGTTTGTTCATTGAGCTTGACTTTTCCAATTACCTCCATAGGGAGAAATGGGCTTGAATATTTGAAACCTTGAATAAAGGCTAAATTGTTGGTGTCGTCCTTAAAATAGGTACCTGTTGCGTAGATACAGCTGCACCAAAATGGATTCAGTTGCATCCTCAACTTGTGATACTCGCAAGTGCACGAGCCGT